GCCTTTGGGCTCTTGAGGAAAGAAAAGCTTCGTTATTCCTAAATTATGTGTCACACAGGGCCATAAGCATACTGGAACTTCCTTCTTCGATAGTCTGTTAGTTCTCTCAGGCTGAATGACCCCTCACCCTCTGTAAAGATGGGCAGGATCTAAGAAGGCCAGCTTAGGTAAAGCTGTGTGGACAGAATCGCTGCCAGATCACAGTGTACTTTCCTGAGAAGGCACAAAGTGGTGGCACCATTCAATGAGGGAATGTTGTAGGATGAGTGGTAGAATTTGTTGTTGGGACAGTTGGTATGGCACAGCTCAGGGTCTCTGTTTTTAGGATGGATTCCCAACTTTAAGGGTTCTTTCACTAATGTTGGGTTCATGTGCACCTCTTCCAAATTCCCTCTTAATGTGAACAAGACCCCCAGAAGTTGCCTCTCACTGGGCATATGTAGTCATCAGCTATATTTTAATATACTTACAGGGCTGAGGCAAAGATATCCTACAACATGAACTGTGACTTAGCTACCTGGCACTTAGTTCTAGTAGGTGATTTCAGAAGCTAGGAAACATCTCCATCTTCTTGGTTGGTTTGTTTTTTGCCCTGGAGATTTAAAAGCTTCCCTTGAAGGCTCTTTCCTCTGCCTCTAGGCTCCTATCTGTGGGCCAGGAACAGACTTCATTGAGGCAGACAGACAGGCTGCCACAGTGCCCTGCAATTTAAAACCATGTGGCATGATTTTTCTTGGACCATGTGTTCTAAATGCATTGCATATTTGCAAGTGCAAGGTGGCAATTTTGACTTGGTTAGGACAAAGGAGAGTTGAAAAATAGGCCAGTTTCTTTAGCTTGAACTTCTGCCAACAATAGTTTTCTTCTTAAAAAAGAAACATTCATTTTCCTAAAACTTAAAAACTAAAAATGAGTCAAAAGCCACTAAGGTTGCTCAGCAGAGGGGGGTGATTGTGGTTACTGTGAGACAGACTTGGATGAAATGATACTAGTGGAGAGAAAATTTTAAATCTTGATCATTTTATGTCTAAAGTGTAGAATGAAAATAATTCAAGCCGTTTCTTTAAAAACAAAACATTTTGATAGTAGGGATTTGACGAGTTGCAAGGAACAGTGGGGGGTCATTTTATTATATAATCGTCATGGAAGGGATGCTGCTGCTACTCTACCTTGAGCTCATAACTTAATAATAAAATCTGTTGGATTTTTTCATCTGTAGAACAGGTTAATGACCTGCTTTGGTGCCTTCCTAGGGTTTTCCAGGACCAGTTGAGAAAATACATGTGAATAGTATTCTGGAGCTTCTCATTATTAAATGTCTTATAAATGCATTAATGTTTACATGGTGCACCACAAGTAAAGCAAGTGTCAAGCCTTTAATCCCTGCCATCTGGCATTTCAGAGCCCTAGACAGGATACCTTGTCTGTAGGTAACAGGACAAGAATAGAGTTCATAAATGGGTCCTAGGTATGCGTATTTAATATGACAAAGTATTTGACAATGGATGACACAAAGGAAAGACAGACTCTTAATATTAAGTTCAGAATCCTTCCCTGTATAAGTTAGATGTGTTCATTGACATAGCACACCAGATTTGGAATCCTGTGACAAATTGTGATCATGTTATTCAAGGTAGGAAGAAACATTGTGGAGGTTAAAATGAGATGATGTAGTGGAGGTATAGCCTCAGACTCAGTGAATAACCCCTTTTCCTGTATCCTTAGATCCCTAGCACAGTGCAGTGCATTTTTTCTTTGACTGCTCTCTCAGTAGCAGTCCAGAGGAAGGCCAGCTGTCAGATCCCAGGGACTCTGAGAGGATCCTGAGGAGGCATGGTATCCCCTACCACCACCCCCACCCCCCCAGGTTGTATTCCACTCTTGGTGGCGGGGATCAGTACAATCTCTCAGTATTCTCTTGGCTCGTGCTGAGTAAATAACAGATTCCTGACCTTTGGAAAACTCTGCTGTAGCCTCCTTACTGCACAGTTGACGTACATATTAATGCTGAGCACTTTCAGCTCCAGCTTCAGTTTTTCCCTTAGGTTTTCTGTTGGCTACTTTTGTTCCTTGTCACAAAGATGGCCCATCTCACAAAGATGGCCCATCTCAGCAGATAGGCTGTTACTTGTTTTAAATTAGGCGGTTTGCTTTTTTAAAAACTTAGAGAAATATATTGGATTAGTATCCCTACCTCCTCTAAGACTGGTCTTGCCTTTCAGAAGTTAGGCATAGTCCTCAATTGCTAGGTCCCAGATAGTTGCACCCTGGATTAGGGAGAAGAGGACAGGGATAAGTGGGCCTCTGCTGGGATGGATGTGGAGGTCTTGCTTGTGCAGGCGTGATGGCCAGGGCTTTCCATGCTTCCTGTATGGGCACCTGGCATCTGAACACACCAGGTCCCACTGCAACCTGAGGAAGCTCAGAAAAGTTAAGCAGCTTTCCCAAGGACATGTAGTGATGGGCAGAGGAGGAATGGGAGCCCAGAGCTGCCTGGATCCCATATTCTTTTTTTTTTCCCCTTCCAATATCTCTTCTCCTTAGAATAGAAGAAGCAGAATTCTTAGAAGATTTCCTAATTTAAATTTAAAATGGAGCTAGTTTGGAGACCTAGGATGTGTTAATGAAGATTAGTGCCTTTGCATGGTCTGGCCTCAGTCACAGAAATAATTGATTCTGTATTAGGTCTTGATTTATAATCCCTTAGTCGGGAAAACTTACATTCTATATAAAGCAAATGCTGAGTGAATTCACAAATCTCAGCTTTTATGCCATTGTCAAACTGCCAGGTCCCGAGAATACACATTTGTGGTCTTGAATTGAACCATGGAAGGAAGATCAGGTCATTTTCTGGTTGCTCTTGAAGGCTTTGTTTATTTATTTATTTATTTTTGGTACTGGGGATCGAACTCTGGACCTTGCGCTTTCGAGGCAGGTGGCAGAACCACTGAGCTAAATCCCCAGCCCATGAAGGCTTTGTTTATGTTGCGTTGTTTGAGGAAGAAAAAAGATACCACTAAATAAACATCTGGAGAGGATTTTTATAGACCTGTGGATTTTCTTGACCTTAGGGACTTTAAGTCTTAACCATGTCAGACACTAAGGAACCAATACCCCCTTTCCCACCCCAGCACAGCACAACAGAGCACGGCACAGCACATCTGTCTTCTCACAAAGAGAGGGCTCCAGGACAACTCTGACACTTTGCCACCCAGAGACCAGCTGTCAGTGGGCTTTGGTAATTTGGAAATAGGCCCATTTCAGGAAGACCAGGAGGTTTGAGGGCCGATGGGATGCCTAGAAGCTCATCTTTGTGCCCCTTACCTGGAAAAGTGTCAGAGGATTACTTCGTACTTGTTAAGGCTTGTGTCAAAGCCTCATGCAGTCATACAGGTGGGGCTTTTTCAGAGGTGGCTGGATCTAGAGTACGTGGCTGATTCATGGTGCAATGCTAGGATTAAGGGTGTGTGATTACTGAATCAGTCCATTGATTGGGTTGGCACTGCCCTAATTCTGGTAGCCTGGATATAATATAAGGGACAGAGAGAGGCTTGTCTTGTCCCTTGCTTGCTTGCTTTGCTACCTTTTGTCTGCCATGAACTGTTTCTCTGTGATGCCCCTCTGCCATGTGCCACACTGCCTGGGGGCCATACAATTATGGACTGAAACCTCTACAAACTATGAGCTAAATAAACTTTTCCTCCTACAACTTTGGGTGTTGGGTATTTTGTTTCAGCAATGAGAGCGAAGTAACTAAGACACTACTATATTTGTATTCCATTCTCTCTTCTTGGGTTCAAGAAAATCAGAATTTGGCTTCATGGTTGTGTGGCCAGCCACAGTCATAGGAGCTGTCATGGATTGAAGGGAGCAAGGTCCATCTAAACTCCTGGTTGTGCTTGACCACCAACCACATGCCTATTTGCATCCCAGTTAGTACATACAACAACCCTAAGAAATGGCTGCCACCTTTGCCTGCCATTACAGAGGAGGCCCAAGATGCACCAGTCTGAGAGTTGTTAGGTCACAGTGACTGAGTGTACTAGTCATGCAGTATCATTTACTTGGGGTTGCTTTGTCTATGTTGCAACTTGAGTTCCCACACAAGCTTTTCAGAATAAACAGACTTTTTTTCCAGGTTTGAAATTGTAAGGTCACTCTTCATCATGAGACCACAAGAGAGACAGACTCTTTGAAAAGACATGGATATTCTTTCTGTTTGGCATTTGCAGAAGGAGCATTTCTACTAAGTCCCTAAGTAGGTCATAGTCAGATATCTGGGTAGCTCTTAGTTGCTGGCCTGAGACATGACCAGAGGGCATTGGAGAGGGGAACAACACTAACAGTAGAAACCAAACCACCACTGTTCATCTGGGTGTGAGAATGATACTAATTTGTTTGAAATATCTAGTGATATAAGTGGGTTACAAAGTTTTAGGTTCTAGGTCAGGACTTACGGGATAGCCACAGGAAAAAAAGTTAGCTTCCCTCAGTCTTTCAGTGTACTTCAGTATACATTGATCCCTAAACTCTTTACCTTGGGATTGCCAGACAGTTTCAAAGAAGATTCAGTATAACGGTTGTAAATTCAAGGCATGAGTGCTGGGGAGTCCATCAGGGCAAAATTGCAGTTACCCATTTTTTGACATAAAAATAGTTTTTCTTTAATGTGCAATTTTAAGGAAATAAATTTTAAGGTCAGTCTGCTGTGTAGATGAACACATTTTAAGTTTTTTGGAGATGATATGTAAATTAAACCCGTGAAAGAAGGAAGGAGTTGATGGCTTATCAAATCTGTTTGTTCTAATTGTCGTGTTTTAAAAGTGTGGTTCATTTATATTACAAGATATTGTTGTGTTGGAGAGCACAGAATTTCATCACCACCCTTGGTTGATAAGAGGAAAGCCTAGAAGAGAGACGATTTATTGGAAATCTTAACTATGTTCTAATGATCTTGCAAAACATCTTTGCTGACTGATCTCCTTTTCTCTGGTTTTCAGGGCCGACATGTTAAAACGGGTCAGCTGGCAGCCATCAAAGTTATGGATGTCACCGAGGTAAGGTGGGATCACACATTTTTAAAGAAATCCTTACATAAAAGGACCCCTACTCCCACCCCAGTAATGTGAGAGCATTGTTCTGCTTGGAGAATCTGATCCCAGGAACAAACAGCCCCCAGGTGATGTTGTGGGTTAGTAGGTCCAAGAGCAGACTAGGTGACTTAAACTGTTGCAGATGGTCCTCAAGTAACCAAGACTCAGTAGCATTTGGTTTAAATACCCCCCGCCCCCCGAAATCCACATCTAAGTGATGTCATCCTTGGCCAGCATAATGGGCCATAATTGGAAACAGCTTGTCTAATGGAAAGAAGGGAGCTTGGAGGTCACATGAGTAGGGAAGATGAGGGGTGTGGGGTGGGGGACAGTTTCTCTAAGGTATTAGGCCACATTTGTGCCATTTCTTTTATTTTTAACATTAGGGAATAAAAAAGACCCAGCCAAGTTCCCAGAGGTTGAAAAACAGAAACATCTGCTAGAATGCTGAGCAGCTTGTTGGCAAAATTTAGTAGCAAAAAATAGTTCTTGAAATGGTCGCATGAGGATTTACTGTACAGCTTTAGATGGGAAAGAGAAGTTAAACCAGGCAAAAAAGTAAATCTGTGTGGATTTATGTACCTATATACATGATGCCACATTTAAATTTTAAAAAACCATTGATTATAAAGAGCTAAATCTTACTTAAATTATTTTTGTAGGAAATTTATGTTTTCATAGTTGCTTGCCTAATTATGAATAGGGTTCAACATTGTTATTTCACAGATTCTGGAAAGTGTTGCCCAGCAGCTTTATGAATTTGGAGTGCCTTTTATTCAAGCCGTGGTTTCCCCAAATCTGGGTCTACTGAGGGAAATAATGCTAACCTTCCTTCAGGAGTGCCATTCAGTGGCGCACAGAGGTGTCCCTGTGTCCTCTGCTGGTCTCTGATAGCATGGTCAGCTGAGTGCAAGTGATTGTCAGTTGGAACCAGAAAACATTGTTGTCTTTGGACCACAGGACAACTAGTAGATCCTTAATAAAAATATTCAAGGATGAGGCATTTTATAAGGTGTTGGTGCTCTTTTCTCTGTCAGAGAGGATACGAGAGGCTTTTAAAATGGAGAAACTACTGCTTCTTGGTTGAATGTGCAGAAGAGTATGGCATTGGGTTCTGCTGCTTAGCGTGGAGCATGTGTTCAGGGCGGTGCTGCAGCCAAAGTTCTCAGTACCTCAGGTGAGGTCATTCACAGAGTGCCCTGCGAGCTGCACTCGAGCAGTGGTCTGTCCTGCTGTGTGGTGTGGGGACATGGTGTCACTGGAGACCACAGTCTCCAAAGATTTATTAGCACAGTTGTTGTTTACAGCAGACTTGTGGGTTGCATTTTAAGTGTAAGCTCTGAGATTTTATAAACAGTTTCTTGCTGGTCTCCTGACAGGAGCTGTGGCCAGCAGAGGACTGCTGGCTTGCACTTCCTGGGGAGTTCCCAGGGCTGGCTTTCTGTGCAGAGGCCACCTGCCCTCAGCCTGGCTCTGCGGTTGAGGCATGGCACGTGGTCACTGCAGATGAGCGTGCACAGTACAGGGAAGAGTGGAGAGGTATGAGGTCCTTCTACTCCTGCCAATTTAGAGCCCTGTTCTTGGTGCTGTGCTCTTTGCTTTCAGCCAGGTCTCTGAGCATAGATATAAAGCAATGCACGTGTGAATGTGGAGCAGATGCTATGTCTCCCACTTTATTTTTCTTTCATTGGTGGTGCTGAGGCTCAGTCCCAGGATGTGTGCATGTCAGCCAGGTGAAGGCTGTCCTACTGAGCTCTAGGCCCAGTTTCAAATTCCACTTCTGTGGAGTTGCATACAGAAGATATTTTCTTGCCTGAAAAACAAGGCAGTTTTGAACAAATGCAAGATAGAAATGTTTTCACCTTTAAAAATAATTAGTGCAAAACCCACGTGTTCAGGTAAAATGAAAACCAGATGGTGGGTCTTAAAAAAAAAAAAAAAGAGCCCAATCAACCATTTGTTATATTTGCCTGTCACTCACACTTCTTCTGTGTGAGTCTCACTCAGTGTCTGCCACTGTAGTCCATGCTTAGGGAGGACTGGAGTTGTGTTGCTGGTGGCTAGGGGACCCGAAGGTTCACCTCGCCTCGCCCTTCCTGTCTAGGCCTCTGGGTTCTTATCCCAAAGTTGAGAGCCTTGGAACCTGGGCCAGAGGATGCAGGCTGAGAGGTCCTGCAGCTGATGCTTCTGGCATCCACTCCAGGGGCAGCTGTTGGCACTGGCTCTCTGGGAGAAGCAGGGTTCTGTGTGCTTTCCTCTCAGAGCAAAAAAGTGGATGCTTGTTTGTGGAACAGACTGGTCTTGACTCCTGAGGCGAACTAAGAGGTAGTTAGCAGGCTGCTAGTTACCGCCAGGCTCAGAAGGCAAGAGGAGCAGCAGGTGGCAGCTGGGTGGGTCAGCCTTGGGGCTGGCTGTGATGGTGGTGGAGTCAAGGGCCCACTTCACCTGCTGTTGTTACGAGAAGTGCCCGGAGGGACCAGTCGACAGTCCAGACCACACTCTGGGGTGTAGTGACGGACTGTGGGGCAAACTAAGAGATGTACAGGTCTCCTGGGGTCTTGTTGTATTAAGAATTGATTCTCCTTAGCATTTTGGAGGGCTCTTAGGAAGGAAAGCAGCCTTTTGTTTCATTGGTTTTGGGAAAGGTTTAAGGAGCGTGTTAAAGATGTGTTCAAATTGGTTGACACTAGTACAACACATCTATAAGGTGTTTTTGTTTTATTTAAAATATATAGATTCTGCCAGGTGTGGTGGTACATGCCTGTAATTCCAGCACTTAGGAGGCTGAGGCAGGAAGATTGCTGTGAGTTCAAGACCAGCCTGAGCTACATAGAGTAATTATAATAATATAATAATATAATAATAATAATAATATGTATTCATATTCATTCACTGGAATTTGCAGAGAAATATGGGGAAGGCCCATGTACCCTTGACTCAGTTTTCCCATGCTAGCATCTTGTATAAACTGTCCTGTGGTGTCATAATGGAAGTACATGCACAAAACAAAGCAGAGCAGAGGTTGCCTTAATAAGCCAGTGTTTCACTGTACTCCAGGGTTGATCCTAGAAAATTGGGCTTCACTGGTCCCTGTGTCAGTCCACAGCCTTGGCTGACCATTGGATGCTGACTTTGGTGGAGTCCAGTGGGCACATCCAGATGCCCCCAGTTTAACATGCACACATTTCTGTGCTCCTGATGTGAGGGGGTCCTTGAATTGGTAGTTTAAATTTTTTTTTTATCAATACATGTTTGCAGTGTATAATATTTACATTCATGTTAGAGAGTAGGTAGATGTGCTTAACATATCTTAATTCTTTTTTATCTTCTTTCTGGTAGTTTAAATTCTTAATAGGTTCTTCAGTTCTTGCTTTTTTTTTTTTGAGTCATGGTCTTGCTGTGTAGTTCAGGTTGACCTCGAACTCACAGCGATCCTTCTACCTCAGCCTCTCAAGTGCTGGGACTACAGGTATGTGAGACCTGTACTGTATTATACATAAGGGACTGATCCTCATCAGGGGATAATAGTTTCCCTCTTGTGAGTTTGAGTTATCCCCTTACTTTCAGTTAGTCTTCTGTGAGGCAGAAAGGTGAGTTAGCCAGACCAGTGATTGTCAGGGGGGTCCGTAAATGCTGTAAGTAAGGTTTATCTGAGAACAGAATTGTATTTTGAATTTCACTGATACCTCCCAACTGGGTTTATTTATGCACACCTGTAATCCCATCACTTGGGGAGGCTGAGACAGGAGGATCAGAAGTTCAAGCTCAGCCTGGGCAATGTTACTGACTTAGCAAGACCCTGTTAGGCTGGAGAAGTAGCTGAGTTGGAAGTCCTTACTTATCTCCCCCCATGACCAACTTCTTATGAAAATGTCCATATGTATATAACTGTTCAAAGAATGAACATTCTCTATCTTTTACTTAGATTCATAGATGTTACGTTTTGTGTTATATGTACTGTGATTGGAAGTAATCCCCCAGTACTCCCTGGCACTTGAGCTGGACATATAGCACTCGAGCTTGCTTTTCTTCAGTATAGCCCTCACGAAGCTGTAGCACCACCCTAAGAGGATTGACTCCACCTTTTAGCCTGCATCCAGACAGCCCCAGTTGTTTTTATGACTAGTTTTTGAATCATAGTCCAACCCCATTTTTTAAAGAAACTTGACTTTTGGAAGAGTTAAGCCAGTTGTTTTGCAAAATGTCCACATTCTCGATTTAGTTTCCCCAGGTTTCCTATGAACTGGAAATGGAGTGAGGTGGCCTCTTGGATCCAGGTTGGAGTACTTGGTAGGGGCTCTTCCCTGGCTGTGTCAGGTATTCCCGTTGGGCATCAGCTCCAACTGTCTGCTCCCCACCCACACCTGGTCACAGCAATGACTGCTGTGGGTGTCCTTCAGAGGCCATCACTGTGTGCCACAGTGGTAGTGGTCTCCAGGGGCATTTCTGTCCCACATCCTTTAACTGAGGGCTCAGTGTGCATTTGCTGCCCCTTGCCTGGGGAAGTCGTTGTTGCAGAATAGTGGCATTTGCCTGTCTTCATCAGCCAGCATTGTTCCGTAGTTTCCTTTCCCACCTTCTCCTGCCCTTTCTTGTCCTTTCTTTCTGGGTGTTGCTGTAGATGTAAGCAGTTTTATTTACTCAGTGTTATTTCTACTACTTACACTTGGTATTATTATGTAATCAAATTGGAGGGAAGTAGGCAGTGGGGGCCTTGGACATGACCCCGGTGGGTCCCAGCGGAGTCTGAGGCCTCTTACGTGATCCCACGAGTTCCTGAGTACCACCTTGTCTTGTGCTTACTGGGGATGTGTTTGGACACCAGCATCCAGATTCTAAGTGTACTTGATGCTTCTGAGGTGTTACTGCTTCTAGACAGAGTCAAGAAATACATTTCTTCAAGAAAATCCTGGTTCCTAATAATTAATGGTATATTTGCACAGTCATTTCAGAATTGCAGTAAT